ATAGTGCAGTGTGTTAACATTTTAATAATTAAATTCATTTGGAAATTCGTTTAACACTAGATTTGTTCATTATTGTTTTGTTTACTATTTTTTAAAAGCTTACAAACATTGCTTGAATGAAGAAGTAGGTAGAGAGGAGGAATTAATATTTACGTATATTTAATTATAGCATTAAAAATCAACTTATGTTTTAAAGAAATAATATTTAAGTTTTATATATATATAGCATATGTAGCTAAAAAATTTGAAATGAGTCAAATTAGCTTATTGTTAGTCCATAAATCTAGTGTTAATTGAATTAACTGCATATAATGCAGTTGTAGAGTCAGTGCATTGTCATCGTCATCCTAAGGGTAGGAGACCCATCGTGCATTCATCAATGAAGACTCGAAGTAAGTATATTTTTGTATTAAACATTTTCTCAATTCTTTTAATATGTGTTTCTTATAAAAGCGATATTAATAGTTCTGCTTTTTTCTTCTGTTTCAGATGATTATTGCAAACGTGCGCGAAGCAATATACGGGAGTGTTGTTATATCGTTTAAATATAAATTAAAATCACGGATTTTAGAAGCACGTTCGTTCGTTAATTGCAATTCGTTCGTGTTACGCGATTGTATTAGAAATTTTTCATATTAAATTTACTGCGAACGAAGCAGTAATTGCATTAGAGTTTGTTCGAGTAAAGTTGTATTGTTATCTTTAAACAGTCGCACAGACTGTTCGCGTATTAGAATCAGTGCATCAATGAAGATTTTAATACTTGCAATGACTGTGTGCAAAGCAGTCTTTGGATGCAGTTGTAGAGTCAGTGATCGGGCGCATAATAAATTAAAATCAAACGCGAATTAGATTCAGTGTTGTTCGTCGTATAATTTAATTCCGGTATCGCGATAAGAAACTCATCTATAGTTTCTTATTTTCGTTTATACCGCGTCATTAGATTCACGCGAGATGCATCGCCATGGTGCAATTGAGCTGCATCCCATTGGAATGCATTGTATGTATTCATTTTTATTAACATTTTATTCGTTTTTATTTGATATGATTTTGGATCATATTACATATAACTTATTATTTTGTTCTATTTTATTTTACAGATATGACGACGAACTTTCTACCTTATCAAAGATGTGAGATGAATTCTTCGATGGATCATCGATGGATCTTCGATGGATCTTCGATGGATGTTCGATGGATGTTCGATGGATGTTCGATAGATCTTCGGTGGATCTCCTTCATTCAATACCAAATCAAGGAACTCTTCAATCGTCAGACTGCAATATATGCTGCGAAGTAGGAGTGTTTTGGAGCCATCGTAGAACTTCTTATGGAGTGAGTCAAAAAATTTAAAGTCCCTCCGGTGCTCAATCATGTCGAGGATGAAAGGTCCTAATCGGCACGAGTTACTGGTTGTAATTATTTAAA